TTTCACACGCCTTCATTCTTTCCTATCACTGAATCCCTCCCACGGTGCCCTCTGAAACCCCCGGATCCCCAACTCCTCTCAGTGCCCTTCATCTCCTCTAACGGAGCTCTGGCTTACGTCCCCTGCAGACCCTCCCCTCTGATCCCGTACCTCACCGACCTGAAATGCACTGGATGCCTCCTTGCTCTTCCTGACAGCTGCAGACCACCCTCCCCCTCCCACCTCTGTCCCCCAGCTCTAACAGCTGTGTTCCACAGACTACAGACCACTAAGCTCTCTCCTGTCTGCCTGGGTGACTACAGATGCTGGGTCACTCCTCCTCATCCCTGGAAGTCAATTTCCAGCTGCAGACCCCTCCCCCCTCCTGCCTTCAGCCCCTCAGCTCTAATGGCTGTGTCCACAGACTACAGAGCTCTTAGCTCTCTCCTGTCTGCTCAGGTGTCCAGACTCTGGACCACGCCTCCTCATCTCTGGAAGTAGAGCTCTTGGCTCCTAGCTTTCTTTCCAGCACTGCTCCTGTCATTACTTCCAGTCTCTCCAGTACCATGTGCTGATTCTTCTAAAACCATGGCTCTTGGTTCCTGGTCCCTTCTCCTCAGACGGTCCGCCCAGCCTCAGCCACTCACTGCCATGTGGGACTGCAGACCTCGTCTTCGTTGATCAACAACTCCACTCCTCCACCGCCTGAACACCAAGTATCCCAGGACCTGACTCCACTCCCTTCTGGTAACCCAACTCCGATTCTGAGCACAGTGATCCCGGTACCTCCGCACAGCCCTCCACCTCCACCAAGTCCTCGCTGCCCTCTATCCCCTTTCTCTAGCTTAAAATCCCACATTTCACCATTATCATCACTCTGTTGTCCTTGCCACTGCCACAATCTTAACCCTGATTAACGCAAGATCTGCACTTGTGCCCAAGTAACTCACTTTGGCTATAGAAAAACAAATAACCATGCTGACTAATCTCCCCTTAAATTCAAAGGCATGGGCCTCAAGCAGACATTCAGTACAGCACAATCCTCTCCTCTCCTTGCTTTCTTAATGACTTCATACCTCCTCCACCCTCTAACACCCCTCCTCCAGCCTCACTGACTCTAAACTCAGCACTTCCATGATGAAGCCACCTGCCCACAGCTGTGCCCACACCCTGTCCATCTTCTACTCCTTTTATTTTGTCAACCCACCTGCCACAGCCGTGCCCACACCCATCCACCATCCAGTGGATCCCATCATTGCACTGACCCCCAGGTGCAGCCCCCCAGGAGCACAGCCCTACAGGAGTGCGCACCTCATACCATCCATTTTTTCTTCTTTAAAGCTGGATACCTCTCTTTAGCTTACATATATGCTCTTATTCCTCTCACTTTAAATAAATTTGTCAACCCCATAACTACCCTCCAGCCATCATACCATCCCTCTGCAAACTTTTACAATAAAACTTA